ACAAAAAATATAAAAAATAAAAACTATTAGTTGACAATTGACAATTTAGCTCAGAATTGAAGGTTAGTTGAATAACTTATAAATCCGTAGAATTTATCGACTTCTTGTAGTTAAATTTAAATCATGAAATAATGTTATTATGAAAAAAAAATTGATAAATCACATTTAATCTGAATAGTGAAAAAAATAAAAATAGAATCTACTTCGAGTTTGAGGCTTTAAGGAGACGAGCTCGAGCTCATTTAAAGCTCGTTTGGCTAACAGCTCGGCTCGATAGGGCTCGAAAATACAAATTTTTATACAATTTTTTATAGTTTGACTTGTTAAAGCTCGAGATCAGCTTGTTAAGGCTCGAGCTCGAGACCTTAACGAGCGAAGCTCGATTTCATGCTCGTTTACTTAACGAGTTCAAGCTCGAGTTCGAGCATCCTAAGCTCGAACTCGGCTCAACTCGTTTACAGGTTCATTTTCTCATTCGAACGAATTCTATTTTTATCTTTTTTTGCACAACAATGAAATTCAGCAGAAGAACTTTCAAAGAATACACAACCACACAATATTAACAAAATTATGTTTAATATAATAATAATAAAAAAAAGATTAAAAAAAAAAATCTCAAGAAATACAATACAGTTCTGGATATTTAGATGCCCATTACCATGTACAAAACTCCTTATTATCCATCTATCATTCACCCAAAATCATCGAGCCCTACCCTATGCTTTTATCGTTTTGTTATCGTTGATTAAAATACATATTAAATTTATTATTATTGGATTAGACACACTATCGTAAAGTGTGATAATTCGACCGTAACATTTTGCTCGATATAGGGATCAAATTTTTTCTTCCATTTTTCATATTTCACCTCATGTTTTATTCTGTTTACTGTATGACACGTTTTCATAGTGTTGCTCTAGCTATCCATATCTTATAAGACCTCGTTTACTATCATTTATAGGATGGGATAAGGTTGATTAACCAATCTTGTCCCTCGTTTACTAAATAGGATTGAGATAAGGATATATATGACGTGACATGAATTGGCAAGATATGTATCCTTGTTGGCGGGATAAAAATATTCGGCCATTAAGGTGTGATAAAATTATCTTTGGTTTTAAATGACCTTTATTTAATATAAAATATTTTTATTTAATTTAATATATTATTATTTAATCTATATAAAATATTAATTTAAATAATTTTATTTATTTTAAAATAAAGTGTGATGACTCGACTAACCACATAAAACACAAGAAAATAAGCACAAAAACATAACAAACACCGCTCGACAATGCAAATTATGGGCTCGAGCTCGACTCGAGTTCGTGCTCGAGTCGCTCGAGCTCGACTCAAATTCGGTGAAACTCGAGCTCGAGTCGAGCTTTGACTCGAGAGCTCGCGAGCGGCTCGTGAGCCGCTTGACTCGTTTGCAGCCCTAGTAGTAGTGCTTGATATTATTTGTTTGTGGAAGTATTTGTCAGCTATGCTTGTTTTGATATTCCAACAATGAGTACGCGTGATTATCCGATAGTTGCACCTGTGTGAGGATTACAAGCTATGCACGATATGCATGTAACGACTAGTTGTACTGTGTGAGTGATTGACTGAACGACTGATGCCTAACCCATGTTCGTGGATAGTTATCCCCTTCGAAGTTCATAATGTTGATCTAATTAAATGTGAGGATCATATCTCGAGTCTAGGACTTAACATTGAAGAGAATACTTGGCCAACCCTACTTAAACCTAGTCGGGAACTTGAGTCTTTCTCCTCGTGAATAAAAAAACAACTCAACGTAGGGCGAAACCAATCAGGTATTCAATCGAATGTGGCCATTGCCACTCGAGGACATTCATGGGTCGAAAGGCTCATCCCTTGACACACATTTAGTGCTCCAGCTCGGACACCTTAAGTTCGAGCTCGACTCGTGTCATTTACAGCCCAAACACACAGTGTGTAAATAAATATAAAGACATCACAGAAATAGATACTCTTCGTCATGGCAAATAGCGGATAGCGGATTATACCAGCGGATAGCGGATAACAAATTATATTAGCTTATTTGACCAGCGAATTGCATTAGCAGTTTTTAAATAAGTGTTTGGTAAATAGCTGAAAGCTTATAGTTGTTTAACATTGCAATATGACCAATAATGAAATTTTATTATTTAGGGTGTATTTTTTATTAGTAATATATTAAAAAATTTGATATTCTAGAGTTGGTAATTTATAAATATATATATATATTTTTTTAATTTACTAATATTTGATGAAAAAGTTATGAATTTTACATTTTTCTAGATAAATTAATCATATGGATGACATATTATTATTTATTAGTACAATAAACTAATATAGATTGTAAAATAAATAATACAAATTAAAAAGTTCCAAGTAAATAATTTTTGTGAATCATCTATCACAAAAAGCTCATATAATAAGCTTTTTCTATACTAGAGTTTTGGCCCCAAAAAGTTTATCAAATAAGTTATTTACCAAGTATGCTCAATAGCGGATTTAACGGGTCAAATCCTTCAGTCTAATCCACTAATTTATCTTCAATCCGCTATCTTTGGGGGGCCAATGAAATATAATATTACAGAAAATCCCCAACTCCGAGTTTGCCTTTTGCCTATTTTTCCTAAAAAAATTAACATTTTTATCATTTTCTTTTTTTTTTTCTTTTTTTATTTTTTGGTACAATATCCTTTTCTTCTTGACCATATTAAGTTTTTGACTAAAAAAATTAAATTCCAGCATATATACATTTGTACGGTCCTCATCGTTTCCATGTAGCTTTTCCTTTTGACATCGTATAAATAAAACGCACTCATCCATTTTCACTCCATTATTACTCTCATCGAAGAGGAAAAAAAAAATAGGAAAGAAAAAGAAAAGCAAAAGAAATCCCATTATTCAAGCGAAAAAGAAGATGTCTCAGAGCAGCGAGGCGCCGTCCGCCGCCGTGGGTGGCGGCGGAGTCAGCGAAATCATACTCTTCGGTGTGAGAGTCAAGGTTGATCCAATGAGGAAGAGCGTGAGCATGAACAATCTGTCCGAATACGAGCCTGCCGGCAAGGACGGCGGCGGTGGAGATGCACCAAGGGCTTCGGCGGAGGATGGCGGCGGCACGGGCTACGCATCCGCCGACGACTCCGTGCCCCGGGCCTCTAACCGGAACCGCGAGCGCAAGCGAGGCAAGATTGGTTTTTTTATCGTGTTTCTTCTTCGATTTCATTGTGTGTGCGCTTCTTATTAAATTGATTTGTGTTTTTTTTTCCTGGGTTCAGTGTGGTGTTTGAAAAATTTCCAATCTTTTTGGCTTTTGTGATTTCTTGTTTACATTTCCAGTTTCTAGCTGATGTAAATCTTGATAATCAAAACAGAAATTTCGTTTT